AAAAAAAAAAAAAAAAAAAAAAGGCAGCTGAATAGGAGAAAAGGCATACAAATTTATTTGAGCATAGTTTTGCATGACACAGGAGCCTTCGGAATGAAGACCCAGAGATACAAAAGAAAGGGTACATTTTTATGCTTAGATTCAACAACGTATGGACAGCTGTGTAAAAATATGATTGGACTAAAAGGGTGTGATCTAATGCTAAAAGAATGAGTGAGGAAACCCACCAAGGCCTGTCTAGACTCTTCTTGGCCTCTGAACATGCATTCCATCCTTCTGAGTATGGGGCAGGGCCTGCTCTTATGACCTAGAGTCAAACAAGGCAGGACACAATTTATTGCTAGTTTTTACACAATAAGGCAGGGGGGAATGTTACAGTAATGTTTTTAGGTTTTATGTCTCCTTGAGGAAAGGGGGTTCTGATTTCTATGTCCCACTTTAGGGAAGAAGGATCCTAGTTTCTATGGCTAGCCTTAGGGGTAAATGAGGGGCCAGAGGCAGGGGGGCAGAAGATTAGACAAAGAACTTTTGGTTCTGAGGTCACTATTTCAGTGTATCCTTGTCTAAGCCCCAACTATCCGATCAACAAAGTACTAAACAGTTCTCTATTGACATCAAACTAGTACTTTTTCTGGAGTTCTGTGACCTTTAAAAGTAAAAATCAGTCTGGGTGTGGTGGCTCACACCTGTAATCCTAGCACTCTGGGAGGCGGAGGCAGGTGGTTAGCCTATGCTCAGGAGTTTAAGACAAGCCTGAGCAAGAAAGAGACCCTGTCTCTACTAAAAATTGAAAAATTAGCTGGACATTGTGGCAGGTGCCTGTCGTCCCAGCTACTCAGTAGGCTGAGGTAGGAGGATGTCTTGAGCCCAAGAGTTTGAGGTTGCTGTGAGCTATGATGCCAAGACACTCTACCCATGGCACAGAGTGAGGCTCTGTCAAAAGAAAAAAAAGTGAAAATTGCTTGAATTTTTTGCATAACAGGTCTTCCATCCCAGGAAGTAAAGTTTCTTCTACTCTATTAATGTGTTCACACTTGTGAGTGCCTTGTTAATAAGTTGTTCACTTGGTGCAGATACTCCTGGCCGCAGTAAATTGTTAACTCTTTAGTAATGTACAAGATAAGGTGCTATATCAGTCATTGGCCTGGTTCCAGCTCAGAATGTGACCTCATGGCAGTCATTAACTTTGGTGAGCATGTTTCTTATCCGTTAAAAAGACAGCACTATCTATACTACTGACCTTAAGGTTGTAAGAGTCACATAAGCAAACACGTGAAAACACCTTGAAAATGTGAAAATAAGTGGTGTGACTTTCAGGTCACTCCCCAAGTTTTCTGAACCTGATCATAAAGATTCTATGGGCCATAGAGGCAAAAGCTATCTTGCTTGTGCTACCACTTTCTGACACTGACCACTTGAATCTCCTGCTCTCTTCTGCCCCTGCTATTGGCAGTGGCAGCCAGGCGGGCCCCCCCAGCTGTCATCGAGAAACACTTGTCTCCAGCTGAAGACACAGAAGAATTATTAAACTGGCAGTTAAACCAGAGGAAAATAGGGCAGGGAGAAGGTAATAGGGTCACTGTTTCTCCTTTGAGCATATAACAGCTTTGAGGGACTTTTGCCGTTTCACCTTAATATAAATTTCAATTCTTAGCTTTATGATCCCAGTTCTTAAATGTTTCTGTTTACATAAGTACTCATAATCAGAGTGAAAACTGGTATCACGGGACAAGATGCCATACAACGATTGCTGCCCACTTTCTGGAAAAAAATCCATCCTAGTGTGAGCATGGATGTAACTCCTGGGAGAAATGTTCTCTAGCTGCTTCCAGTAAGCCAGAATTTGAAAAGTGTGAAAGAGGTTAGTGCAGTTCTTGCATCATTTCAAATTCACCCCTCCAGCACAACAAAGCAGGGATTGTCTGTGTGGCTTTGGGGCCGTTTGCGGAGAGCTGGGCAGCCTATGGGCCCGAGGAGGGGTTGTACAATTGTATAGAAGGTTCCATGTGGGCATAATAATCTGCCAAGACTGATTTCTGGGCAGATTAGACTCCTCTGAGCCAGATTCAGTGTCTACCCCACCTTATGTTCAGGCCGTAGCCCCATGGACAGCAGGCTGTGACGGTCAGGCAGTGAGAAGCAGTGGGGACCACCAGCTCCTGAGCCATCCCACCCACCTACTGAGGCCTGCTCCAGCTTCCTGTATCTTGAGGGTCAGTTTCCTGTGCTCTTCCCAGACCTGGCATGCCTGGTCCTGCCCAGAGCTCGGCACTGCTGTAAGTCCAAACCCCACAGAACAGCTTCCAAGAGTTGCCAGTGAACATTCACAGAGGGGAAACAACTGCCTCCTTGTTTGGGATCTCATTTAAATGTTGCCGAACCAACTTCATGTCTCTCCTACAGAAACTCTGATTTTGAAGGAAATTTGATTCATCTGATTTATCTGGCTAAATCATTATTCGATTGTTTGGCCAAATTTGATTATTTTGTTAAATGATAAGTTTTTCAAATACTTTTCAATATTAAAATCTTACAGCCTTTTCTCTCTAATCATCTAAGAATATCCACTGCATGCCTCTTCCTAACTTTCTGTCTTTCTCCTTCCCCCATTTTTTCACCAGAGAGGGTATATAATCTCATACTTTCAAAGCATATTCTGAAATTTCCCTTGCTTGGCACCGCTCAAAATAGACATAAACCTAGTTTCTGGGTCTTTCCAAATCAGCTATTAAAAAGTAATGGTGGCCAGATGTGGTAGCTCACGCCTATTGTCCCAGCGCTGTGGGAGGCTGAGATGGGCGGATCACCTGAGCTCAGCTGAGTTTCAGACCAGCAGAAGACCAGCATGAGCCAGAGTGAGCCAGAGTGAGATCCCATCTCTACAAAAAAAAAAAAAGTAATGGTTCATGGCTCAGCACCTATAGCTCAGTGGTTAGAGTGCTGGCCACATACAACGGGGCTGGTGGGTTCAAACCTGGCCCAGGTCTGCCAAATAATGACAACTACAACAACAACAACAAAAAACAGCCAGGTGTTGTGGGGGGCACCTGTAGTACCAGCTACCTGGGAGACTGAGGCAAGAGAATTGCTTAAGCCCAAGAGTTTGAGGTTGCTGTGAGCTGATGCCATGGCACTCTACCAAGAGCAACACAGTGAGACTCTATCTCAAAAAAAAAAGAAAAAAAAAAGTAATGGGCTCAGCACCTGTAGCTCAAGCAGCTAAGGCGCCAGTCACATATACCAGAGCTGGTTGGTTCGAATCCAGCCTGGGCCTGCCAAACAACAATGTCAACTACAATCAAAAATAGCTGGGCATTGTGGCAGACACCTGTAGTCCCAGTTACTTGGGAGGCTGAGGCAAGAGGATCGCTTAAGCCCAGGAGTTGGAGGTTGCTGTGAGCTGTGATGCTATGGCACTCTACCCAGGGTGACAGCTTGAGGCTCTGTCCCCCCAAAAAAGTAATGGTCCATGTATGCTGTTAGGAGTTGTTTCTTTTTTTTTTATTTTTATTTTCACTTTAGCAAGTTTGTAGCTCTGAATAGGAGCTGTTTCTTAATTCATTTAGGGGAAAATGCTGATCTTCCCCTGTGTTTAGTGAAATTCGTTTTTATTGCTTTTACTGCATGGATTTTCAAATATCTATTTTTTAAGGTCAATACTTTTGTTTAAGACTCCATTATTATTTTTTTAAAAATACTTTTGTAACATTTCACATATGACAGATCCGAAGAGGTAAGAAAAAGAACTTCCAGCCCTTAGTCCCAGGGCTTCATGAGCCAGGGGTGGGGACAGTGGTGGGTTCATGGTGCCAAGGACTAAGCATATAGGAGTCTCAACTCTGTTCCTCACCTGGAGGTTGTTTCAGTACCTGAGATATTGGCTATCAAAACACCTGTATATAAAAGACAGAATTGAAAATTCCACAAATCTGTTCTGATATATGGATAGCTTTTATTTATTTACCAAAGGGAAAACCAATAAGGCTGCCCAATCCATATTTCCAAAAGTAAAGATGTTTAATTTACTATCTGCTTTTACATCACCTCATATAAAATATTGCCAGAAATATACATAAAGAATTCAGATTATAAAACTCTCCAGGAAATCAATGGTCATAATAATATTGGAACTACAGTTAAAAATAAAAGCAATCTTCTAGCAGTCCTAACTGTAGTTTACTTGAAAGTATAAACTTTACATATAAAGTTTTAGCAGGCGATTGTAAGCAAATAGTATCCATCTTTACAATTTTTAAAAATTCATCTGCAATTGTTATCAGCTATATAGAAATCAGTATTATTCTTCTAGTTCTCTCAAAAGCTCCACAAAATCAGTGATATACCATTTGGCATTGTCCTTTACTTGTTGCCTGATCACATTTCCTCCAAATCCAATGAAAACATCCTAAGAAAGGGAAGGAAAAAAAAAAGAGGGAAGTCATTTTGTTTTAAAACAGATGTAATAGCAATCCAAGGCAAATGTTGTCTGAAAGAATCAACTGTTCCTGCAGAGAGGTGAGGCCAGCCTCTCCCAGGGTGCCTCCCCTGAGCTCACTGCGATAAGCAGGCGCCTCCTGGTCTCTTCCTGCACCCTCTGCCCTCCCTCGTGCATTAGTGAGTGCACCACCACTACGGTCCGTTCAGCTAGATAGTGTGGGGGCTTTGGGAGAAGGGCAAGATGTGGTCCTTGGCCTCTTAAAACCAAGACAAATGCTTACAACAAGAAAAATCACATTAGCAGGTAAATGATTGACTTCTTAACTGGATGGCAATCACATCCGGGCTGTGTAATTTCAAAGAAGGGAAGATCAAAGAGAAGTCTGCAGTGCAGTGAAAATCCCCCTGGACCTGGGATCAGGTCCCAACCAGGCATCTCCCACCTTTAAGGAACCTAAGGTACCTCCCTCCTAGGGAGGCAAAGAGACTCAGCATGTGCATGAGAAATGGTCAGGGTTTTGTTATTTGTGGCTGAAGGTGATCTGTTGGCTGCGCTCTACTTTTCATAGTTAAAATGTTTATGTTGTATCTTGCATTAATTCTACTAACTGATCTCTATTAGTCAATTTTTTTTTTTTTTTTTTTGGAGGGGAGATTTTGGGAGCCTTAGTTCCCCTGTGAGTAAAAAGAAGTTAATACTTTACTTCAAAAGGGATTAAATGAGATAATATAAGAGGTAATGATATATAAAACATCAAATGACATCCTGATCTTTTTTTTTTCTAAGACAGACCCTCAAGCTGTCGCCCTGAGTAGAGTGCTGTAGCATCACAGCTCACAGCAACCTCCAACCCCTGGGTTCAAGTGATTCTCCTTCCTCTGCCTCCCAAGTAGCTGGGACTACAGGTGTCCGCCATAATGCCAGGCTATTTTTTGGTTGCAGCCATCATTGTTTGGCAGGCCAGCGCTGGATTCAAACCCATCAGCTCAGGTGTATGTGGCTGGCACTTTGAGCCACAGGCACCAAGCTAATATCCCAATCTTGGTTACAACTATAAGAGTTGTTGGCCAGCAGTGGCTCATGCCAGTAATCCTAGCACTCTAGGCAGCAGAGACAGGATAATCACTTGAGGTCAGGAGTTTGAGACCAGCCTGACCAAAAGGTAAGACCCCATCTTTACTAAAAATAGAAAAACTAGCTGGGCATCATAGAGTGCACCTGTAGTCCCAGCTACTCAGGAGGCTGAGGCAAGAGGATCACTTGAGCCCTAGAGTTAGAGGTTGCTGTGAGCTATGATGATGCCATGGCACTCCATCCAGGGCAACACAGTGAGACTCTGTCTCACAGACAAAAAATGTTGGCAGCTCAGTGGTTAGGACGCCTGCCACATACACTGGGGCTGAGGAGTTCGATTCTGGCCTGGGTCTGCTAGACGACAATGACAACTACAACCCAAAAATAGCTGAGCATTGTGGTGGGAGCCTGTAGTCCCAGCTACTTGGGAGTCTGAGGCAAGAGAATTGCTTAAACCCAAGAGTTGGAGGTTGCTGTGAGCTGTAATGCCATGGCACTCTACCCAGGGTGACATAGTAAGACTCTGTCTCAAAAAAAAAAAAGTTTTAAAAGTTTCTTCTTAGTTTCTTATTCTCAATATTTCTTATGTTTGCAATAAGTCAATTGACATATAAGAATGAATTTGTTTTAGTTGCTTTGTTTTTCTGTTTCATAATGACACTTAGTTGTTTTTGCTTAACTCCTGTTGTGAATCTCATGTAATTCTACATCAGTTATCTAAAACAAAAATGCAACCTGAAAAAAATTGATTAATACATACAGCAGGTGGACAAGCTTCCATGTCTGTGGCTCCATCTCCAATCATAACTATTTTCTTAAAGTGAAATTTTTCCTTTAAAAGTTTAATAACTTTTCCTTTTCCACCAGATTCAGCTGTAGGCTGTGTCTCATCAAAACCTGCATATTCACCTTAAAAGAACAGATAAAACAATGTTAAAAATCCACAAAAGTATATTACTAGCTCCAGCTTTTTGGATACGTTACATGCTCACTTAAATGTCAATGAAAAGGCTAAAAATGGCCGTCAGTAAAGCCTAGAATTCCATATCTATTCTTTTTTTTTTTTTTTTTTT